ACACTAGGGTCTACTAGGTCTACTAGTGCAGGGAGACAAAGGGGAAAGGGCTGGAAAACTACAGTTTGGGTACTATATTCACTCACTACCTGGGTGTCAGGATCATTTTTACCCCAAACCTTAGTGTCATGCAATATACTCCTGTAGCAAATCTACACATGTACTTCCTGAACCTAAAAGTTGAAATTATTTTTCAAAAGAGTTGGAAAAATTTTATAAATAAAAATACATTTAAAACAGCTGTCGCAATCAAATATCATAAACCAATCCATCAATCAAGCAAGCAAGCATGTGTGGCCAGAGAACTTAAAGCTAAGAAACTGCCAAGTGTCAGTCACTGCTTCTACTAAAATGAAGTGATAATTGCAGATAATTTTATAGATCCCAGACCTACAAAGCCATGAAACAATGCACCAAGGCTTATAATTAAACAAGGTGGAGGAAAGGTCATTTTAAGTAGCGGGGAGAACCTATTTGCTAAGAATAGATAATACAGTTTCCTCCTTCTCTGTACCAAGACATCTGAAAGACCACTTAAAAGCAGGAGGCGGCACAGGAGCTGGCCTGGCAGATTTCCTGCTCCTCTCTCCAGGGTATAAACACCATCAAGGCACTCTAGGGAATTCCATGAAAAAAAGAAGCCTCTCTGTCCTGGAGAGCTGTTTATTTAGGCAATTAACAAAACACAAAGGAGTCCTTTAAGAATAAATAATGGCTGCCAGGGACACCTTGGTTTGGCTCCTAACCATCGTGGGCTCACATCTTGGGCTTTTGCACTTTCCTTACCTGAAAACAAACATTTCCCTGTGAATTTTTCCACTTAGAAATGTGATTTCAGGACTTACATGCAAAATATGGGTGGATTTTAGAAAAAAAGTACCACAACAATAATAGCACTTTCATAAATACAGACAGTACAAATTAGTTATTAGAAAAATCTAAATCAAACAACATGCAGAAGGTTGATGTGTTCCATACTGAATTGAAACCATGAAGGATCTGGCATCAGCCATCCGGCCATGGCATCACCACTTGTCCTCATGGCGCAGGCACAGTGACAGAACCTAAGAGAACAGGGCAGGTCCATTGCTTGGAGGCTCCCAGTCTAGGAGGGGGAGACAGATGTGTACAGACTCCACAAATGTCTGCACTATGTAGTTATTATACCGGGCACCTTGCTGAACACAAAGAACAGGCATTCAGAGTCACATCTCTTTGATGGGATAAAAATCTAAAGCAACAAATCTAGTTCTGAAGCTAAGTGTAATAATATGCCATCATAAATGCTATTATCTCATTTGCTTCATCCCCTGGCTTCAGGTAGTATATACTAAAGCATTTCAAGATTATCACAATTTATCATCATAATTTTTTCTATGATGTTCTGGCATTAACCAATTGATATCTGCCACTGTAGATATTTTAGTTACTGTCAAATCATATTTATTTGGAGCAATCTTTATTATGAGACAAAATTAACCAAATACACACACACACACACACACACACACACAAATACAGGTGTGATATATTTTCTTATTCAAAATAGAATGTTTACATAATTGTTATCCAAATTACTTAAAAATCTACATAAATACTTGGTTAAAGCAATTTTAATCCTACTTCCATACAATCACTGAGTATTTTACATAAAATATTTCAAGAATACCAAAAATACAGAGGGTATAATATAAACACCCAAATACACACCACCACATTAATGATATACGTGAAACTCCTTGCAGAGGCCTCTCAAATCCAATTTACTTCATTTTCTCCACTAGTAAGTGACCTTTATCATAAACTTGCTTTCCATGCATCTTTTATACCTTTACTGTAAATGCCTGTATTCAGAAACAACATATTGTTTTGCATACTTTTAAGTTTTATAATATAAATGCCATCTTGTACCTGGAATTTGCTTTTAGCACTTATCATTCTATTCTTGATAATTATACCTGCTGATACATATAATCTTGTCCAGTTACTTTACCTGCTGTATAATATTTCACTATCTGACTATATTATGATTTTGACAGGTAGCTGGAAGGAGGGGGATAAGACAATGTGATAACTTTAGTTCCAAGGAGAATGAGGGGGAAAGTACAGGAAGTATCTGGGATCAGAAGCAGCCTTGGCAAATGGCTATTCATTGAATGGAAAAAGAAGAGAAATAGCTAAAATCCAGCTGTCTAGGAAGCTGTAATGCCTCTGGAAAAGTGATCTGGAGTTACTTGATTATCTCATAACAGCATCTTGCCTAGAAAGCTGTTTCCCTCACTTCTCTTGTCTATTACCCAGTCACAATCATTGCTTCTACACCTTTTAAAAATGTTTATAAAACAAGAGAGTCTTCAAGTTAGTTCTCATTAAAATGATCATAAATAATAAATTAGTGAGGATCTGAATTTCTTTTTCTAGACAGAATAGTTTGCTTTTTTATACTTTCAATTAATAACAAAAAAAAATTTCCTGAGGTCTTTCATTTCTGAAAGCTTTCAATGTAATATATGTTTTTACCATGATTCTGGATATAAAAGTTATCTTTAAGCTTATTTAAAGCAATATTCAAAATTTTCAAAAAAATGTGGAAAACCCCGTAAGTTTCAGAATGCTGAAAATGCAATTTTAAAACTGCTATCTTTCAAGACATACAGATTTGAAGCAGTAGATATATCAAAAGAGGCCTTTTCAGTCTTTATCAAGGTACACACTCTCTAACAAGTTGGACCACATTGCTATATAACCAAAGACAATTAAGAAATACATCACACTGTGTGCAGTTGCTTATGTTAATATGGAACAACAACAAAAAGAGACTGAAAAGAACAGCAGGAGCAAATCTCTAATCTTTCTGGGAGAAGATATAAAAAGATTTCAAAGCATTTATGGAGGAGTCATGTACGCAGTAAATAAACAAAGTGTTAACAGGTTTAATTATCAGGTACTATTACGTTGGCTAGCTGATACTAATAAAGATACATTTGTGCCTTTCTTCATTAGATTTGTATAAAATTACTCTAGCATTTATTTTAAAAAGCATTTTCCCTTTCTCAAAGTCATAAAAGAACCTTGCACGAGGAAAGTAATTACTGGCATTCTGTACAGTACTCACTAAAAACGCTGAGTGACAGTGGGTTCTAGCACAGCTATATCAGGCATCATTAATTCTCTGGGGAATATTCGTGTTTAACAGAAAATACAAAATAGCATGTTTATTTTTAGTTTATCTCACTTGAAAGTACTAATTTTCCCAGAATTCACTAAAAAAGTAGATTTGTGTTCACGTATACATATATAGTGTGCTTCATGCTCATCATCTGAATGCTCAATTGACTTTTAACAGGGAGGGGAGTTTAAATGGCTCTGATGTAAATCAAACTTTCTCTTACTATGTTTCCAAAGGATGGGCTCCAAACAACTTATGTCATTATTCTTTTTTCATTAAAGATCCCATTTTCTCAAATAAAGAAACTTAAAATACTTTCCTTATCACGTATTTTCACATCAACTCATGGCTATCAGCTAACATTAACAGAATTGAGACTTAAGTGCAAAAGAGGAAATTACCCTTAAATAGAAACATGAAATCTAATTCTGTAATTAACATGATCTTTACAATATTATTGGAAACACTAATGTGATAAAATAAGAAACAAAAAACAAAACCCATGTGCAATCTATTAAAAAGACTAAAAGCAAGATTTGACTGAAGTTCTGAAGCTTTCAAATAAAAGAGAAAGGGTGTTTAAGCCTTAAAGAAAAGTGCAAAAAAGCAAATGAGATTTTTTTCTATAAAAGTATTTCATGTAGTTTTCTATTTTTCTTTTGTCTTGTCATGATGGGAAATATCAAAAAGTTTGGACTTTTCCAAGTTTAGGCAACAGAGTCCTAATCATGATGCAGAAGAGGAAAGAGTTTAATTCTAAGTCCATTTCCTATAGCAAACTATTTTCTGTTAAACTCTAGCACAGAGAGATGGAAGCTAAAAGCGAGTGACAATTTATCTTGGCACATTCTCCAAAAATAATAATCCAGTATCTGCCTGGCAGCCTAAGCTTGTAGAAAAGACAGGAAGCAAAATGGACAGTAATAAAATGTTCACAGCTGATGAAATTTTGGTTCTTAGATGCAAAGGCTGAAATTTTCCAAAATTTAGCCTAGAATAAACCCTATATTTCAACAGTTACCAAATTTTTTTCTAATCCTCCAAGAGGAGAGTTGTAAAAACTTATCTTAAATACTATTTTTTTAAAGGAGGTGCTCCATCTACTAACTTCTTCAACTTAAATCAGACATCAAATGTAAATGTTTCCAGACCAGCCCTTACACAGTACTATCGGATAACAAATCTGATTTTAAATGCAGTCAAATATTGAGGGTAGTTAATTCTGTCCTCAATTTCATTCTGCAACTTGCTAATGGAAAAAAAACTATGATTTGTGCAAATATATTAATGGTCTTAAAAATAAAAGATTAAAACACACTATAAAGAAATCAAGTCAAAGTTCATAAATCCATTATTTTAATACAAGAGCATGACATGAATCAGTTCAGTAAGATCTAGATCTAATAATGGAAAGTTCAACTGATTCAAAGTCTCCAATTCAGATTCAAAAGTACATAATTTACTCCATATAAAATCCATAGTATAAAAAAATCATGGATTTCAGATCATAAAGAACACTAATTCTTGATTCAGATCAATTTACACTATCTCCTGACCAAATAATGTTTTTGCTTGATTATATAACAGCATTAAAAAAAATTAAGATTCTCCAAGGAATAAATATGCATTTAGGTTTACAATGCCCATATGGAACAAACCCTGAAAATTATGAAATTATTACTGTTTGACTTTTATAAGTAAATTCAGTTTTTTGTTTTCTTCAGTTGATTATCATTCATTTTACAATTGCCACTAATGACTCAGAGAAGAATCATACTATAAACTATATATTAATAAAAAGAAAACAAGGAAACAAAATCCTACTACTTACAAACTTCCTCTTCTGGGGAGACTCAGCTCCTTCTGCAAAAGAAAAAAAAAAACATATATAAGTGATGCTGCATTAACCTTAGATTACTATGATACCAAACGGATAACAAAGAACATATCATCCCTCATTATGCTTGATTTGGCATTTCCTATATTGAAAACATTTTAATGTCATAATTTTATGCTGGATCCCTTCTTACACAGTTCTCTTTACACACTGTGTTTAAGGTACAAACACAGCTTATCTGAATTCCAGAGCAGAAAAACCATCAATCTTCCCAAAGCAACTACAGTAAAATACTGAGTTGAGTTACATGGCCCTACAATTGAGCATACGGAAAATCTGAGCAAGCAAAGAATTTATCCAAACAGGATTTAGCTATAAGAAGTAGGAGACATTTTGCAGGATTATAATTAAATGAAAGGTGCAATGAAAGGGACAATTAAATCGAACTATTTGCCCTCAACAGAAATATATTCATGCAAAACATTATGCATACCAAAGATTGCACTTTCTATTTTTTAAATGATAATGGAAAAGATTTCCTTTTGGTGTTATTTCTCAAAACATCCATTTATTCATTGGGATATTTAAAAGCAGCTTAATCAACTTCTAAAAGGTAATCAGACAGCCATGACAATTATTAGTGTGCTTCATAGTTTTAAAAGGGTGCCTTCACACTTCTCTCAATTTGAGATTCTTATCTACCTAATCATCAAGAGGCTGTGGAAAACCAAAAAAAAAAAAAAAAAACCACGCAAGGAAACAAGCCAACCAAAGAAATAAACAAAAATAGATTCAGAAATACCTCTATCCACTAATGAAGTTTTCAAAGCTCAAGAATAATTACTTGCTGTCAATTATTGAAGAATAGGAAGCGATGAGTCATTTGGCTATTTAAACTCAAACTGAAGCCCACTATGACTAAATTTGGTTATTCATGCCCATAATTCTCATTTATTTTTCTGCCTTTCAGGTGCTTGAGCATTATCCTTTGAAAGGTATTTCCCCATCAGCTTCAAACTCACCTTTCCTGTCTCTTATTTTTATTGACTATTTCAATGTTTGTCGTGGACAGCAGGCTTAGCTATCAGTTTTCCACAGCAAAACTTACTCCAGCACAGCTTACAGAAAGTGGCCACGAGAGTGTCAGACCAGAGCAGAGGAGAGCTCTGTGGCTGCTGCTTTAAACACAGCAGGCCTTACTTATTAACTGGCAAATACATTTCCATACAGATATAGCAATCACATAACTGTTTAAAAGCAAGAAAAACAATCAGCAACTTTAGGAATGAGTTGTCATCTTCCTTCTCCCAATAGCAAATGTTTTCTTTTCAAGGGCTCTAGGGTTCAGTGGTAAAGTGCCTTTTTGTTTTGTTTTGCTTTGCTTTTTTCTTTAATCCTTGATTAGCTCCAAGAAATTATAGTGTTTGCTGAACTTGGCTCCCTGATTCTAAAACATAAATATACCTTCATTTACTAAAACCTCTAATGACAAGAGAAAAGTCTCTGACCAAGACCGTTTTCCTTGGGAACCAAAACATAAATAGAAAACCAATGAGTAATTTTCTATACATGGATCTTTGGTTACAACAAGCATTGAGAAATCTGTGTTGTATTCAGGTTAAAGAAAAGAAAAAGAACTTCCTAGATGTAATAGCTCAACACACTATATTTTTTATTTTTTAATTTTTATTTATTTTTAGGATAAGGTCTCACTACATTGCCCAAGCTGATCTCAAACTCCTGGGTTCAAGCATCCACCTGCCTCAGCCTCCTGAGTAGCCAAGATTACAAAGTACACCACACTGTACCAGACCCAGGCCATTTCTCCTAGAAAGAAATTGACACTACTGCAGAGCAAAAGGTCTAGAGACCAAATGAATAATACTGCTCTGTCCAGTAAGTTGATCTGACAGCCGCATAAAAGGTACCTGAGGTATTATCATTAATAACAACAAAATAATAAATCAGATGTTATTTCAACTATATATGCAAATAGATCATTCAGAAGACATAAGAGGAAAGGGACCAAATGAATGACCCGAACAGTTTCATCAATCATATTCCACCAAATGACCCGAGCATAAACTGGCTGCTTTGCTCTGAGAAAAAGCTGCTGAAACAGCAAGATAAGGGATAAAAACCAACTCTGCTTTTAATCAGAAGTCTTTCCAGTAGGTCTAGAATTATGAGTTCTAAACAAGGAGGAAGGTTACAGTGGGTAACCCAGCACTGCTGCTCCACAGGATGGCAGCCGAGATTCCAAGATGAGGAGCAAAGGACATTTAATAGGCCACTGTCAACTGACCTGAAGCTACCACGCTAACCAAGCTGAAGGAGCTAATCCACCTGACGGCTTGAATGTCAGGCTCAGGACTGGAAACTCAATTTGGTAGCAAATTGGAATCACATGTGATGGTAATAAAGTGAGAGAAATGAATGTGCTGTGGCCAAGACCTTGTGAACAGTAGCTGCAAAAGTCTGCAAATACCAGGAGGGCTAAGCAATTGCAGCCTGAGCAGGAAGCAGCTCCTGCCCTAATGGATGAGGGCCACGTGCTGATAAATCTGCACCCGTCAGACGTAAATGAACGGCATCAAGGCATTTTATCGCCAAAGTCCCTGCGGTACTTTGTGTATGTGTCCTCATTTTATTTTCTTAATGTCAGGATAAGGTCACTAACACATACTCAGATAATTAGATAAGACGTGGAATTGGTCTGAGTCATAAACCTAAGCTTGTGCTTGACATATGTGGAGTGTGTGTTAAAAATTTACCGTCAGGTAAGAATTGGAGGAGGAAAGAAAAAGGGAAAAAAGAAAAAACAGCAAGAAGTATCCATCTGAACTAAACAATTTGCTAATTGTTGACACTGGATTAAAGAAATTCTTAAGATCCAAAATTTCTAGATTTTCATTGATATTGATGATTCAATGACGTTTAACACTGTTTAGAGTTCCTGTTTATCATTACTTGCTTGATATTTTATCCTCCCCCCGGACTTTTACGTGTTAACTAGCAAATATTTGCATTAAAGATACAGATTAAATAAAATTAATCTTGTCTGAGAATCCTGTTATTTTTGAGATCTCTCAACGTACCTGAGGATACGAAAAGATCCCTCCAATCCTGGAAGAAAACTCATGGAGAGTCTGACAAGAAAGAAGGGTAAATGATTCTGCTCCTTTCTCCCAGCCATCCTTAGCTTCAAAAAGAGAAGGCAAGTGTTTCATTCATGAAGACAGGGCAGAAAACTGCAATGTTTTACAGGTACGAGCAATCACCACAGTGGTAATTTTAAAACTATTTATAATTTTTAGTATTTAACAGCTACTCATAGACAAACAAAACAATACTGCTATATATGCTGCACGTGTTTAGAAAATCTCTGAACTCTTCTTTCCTAACTAAGGGTAAACTTATGATTTGAAAGAGTACATTTACAGAAGCCCAAATAATATATGTAGATACTCCCTTCTTCAAGCCGTAGAGCTTAAATCTCCTCTCTTTGAGTGTGGGCTGAGACCTAGTGACTCACTTCCAAATAACAGAATACAGAAAGGGAACAATAGCAACATTATAGTGGGGAGACCTGCAGATAACACCATAACTGAGTGATCAAGGTTAACGTCATCAGTGGTAAGCCACGCTGACATCACGCTGCCATCCTCTGATATGATGTGATGAGAAGAACACTTCATGCCTGTGGTATTCTCTCCAAAATCCAGAACCCCATTCTAATCGTGAAAAAGCCTCAGGCGAACCCAAATGGAGGAACCTTCTAAAAACATGTGACCAGTGCCCCTGAAAGCTGTCAAGGCTGTGAAAAACAAGAATAAATTGACCAACTGTCACAGATGAGAGAGGACTAAGGGTGGCTAAAGGCAATGAAGAATCTCGAATAAACGAAGAATCTTGAATTGGATTCTCAATCAGAAAAAGGACATTAGTGGAAAACTTGGTGATAGCTAAATAAAGTTTGTAGTTTAGATGATAACAATGTCCCAATGTTAAAGTCATGATTTTGACAAATATATTAAGGTTACATATGAGGTCAACATTTTGAGGGACTGGAAGAAGGGTATACAATAATTTTCTGAGCTATCTTGTAAATGTTCTGTAAATTTTAAAATTATTCCAAAATATTAAAGAAAGCGTATCAAAACGGGGAGACTGGGAGAAGGGAAGGCTGGTGTGGGGCTGGAGAACAGAAGAAATGAACACAAATATCTAAATATTCAAAGCTTACTTTAAGGTAATATTTAATACCAATTTTTTAGGAAGTTATAGAAATACTGTAGGTGAGAGAGATTCTGGCTAGGACCAGCAATGAAGATGGGAAGGAGTAGTCAGATTTGAGATACATTTTCATAAGATTTACACAGAAACTGGATGTGAAGCATGAAAGATAAAGCAAGGAGAAGTCATAAGTTTTTGGCCTGAGCAAATAGTTAGATGGAAAACCGGTTCAGCTTTGACATGCTACATTCAGGATGTCTGTCTGTAAGAATTCCAAGTAGAAGATTCCAAACAGGCAACTAGACAAATGAACCTGGGTGCAAGAAAAAGGTTAAGGCTGGAGGTAGATTTTGGAGTCATTAACACTAAGATTGTATGTAAAGCCATGGGACTGGATGAAATGGAGAGAATTGATAGAAAAAGGAAAACAGACACACCTGGTTACAAAGCCATGGGGGCTTTGCCATTTAAAATAAAGAAGAAGGGAGGATTGTGCTATACATTGTTAACTAACCTATTGCTCTATCCAGCAGCTGGGGTTCTTGAAAGCAACAGAAATTGAATGAGACTGGCAAGTAAACAATCAATGTATGGACGACTACTGGCATCCCTGAAGGCAATAGGATGATTGGGCAGACAAGGTCAGAAAGTGGGCAGGAACCAAAAAATTAAACCCAGAAAGTATGACCACACCCAGGGAAAAGCCCAGTTAGGACACCTCTGCAGCTGAACCTTGAGTGGGAGCTCAGCCTCCAGGAAGAATCCCTAACTGCCCCCACACACCTTCACT